TATGGAATCTATCTGAATAATTTTTTACTAAATTCATCATGTGTTGTAATTCTTCTTTATTTAAATGGTCGAGACGAAGTAATTTTTTTATTTCTTCAACTCTATCGTTGCCTGTAATGTTGAAAACATTTTCTGATTTAACATTTTTTGAAAATACATCAATGATTTTTTGAATTGATGAGTCTTCACTTTTAATATCAGATTTGTTTATTTGAGTTTCTTGTTTTACTTCATCAAAATCTTCTAAGTTTACTTCAAAAATTGGTATGTCTATTGATTCATTTAGGGTATTAATTGCTTTTAAATAAGCTAAGCCTTCCATGTTTGAAACTACTGCATCACCTAAGTAGACACCATCTTTTACTTTTAGTCTTGGAATATAACCTTCTTTTTTATCTTTATTTAAAATTTTTACATGAATATTATAGATTGATCTTGCTGGTATTGAAAAATAATTTTTTAAATCAAAATTAAATTTTTGTTTATTGATTTCTAGATGTCCTTCTTCGTAATTAATTTTTACTTTATTTTTGACAAAAAATTCTGTTCCTAGTATACCGTCATGTTCAATTGGAACTTCATTAGATAAAAGGTTAAAAGTTGTTGGAATTCCGAAAATATTAATTTCTACTTGTCCTAAAGTATAAACTGCGTGATCGTTAATTCCTGTTAATTTAAGACATTTATTTTCATCAATTTTTATATCAGAATTTAATGCGCGAATTTTTAACAGATTTGGTCCTGCTCCTGTGTCAATCATCATTGTTGTTGGAACTTTTAACTCTTTAGTGTCAATTCGAATATATGGAATTGTATTAGTTTTTGCTAAATTGATGTTTCTGGATGCATAGTAATTTCTTCTTAATTCCTCCTCAGAGCACCCTACTGAAGAGGAATTTTGGAGTTTTCCTGATTTTGTGTTTGTGAATTTGTTTGTTGTTGTTTATTGTTATCATCCCACATCTTTTTCCTACAATTAGTGGAAATGTGTCCTAACTTTTTGCAATGATTACACATTATACTTTGATTTCTACTTGCGAAGTTTGTTGTATTGGTAGTTCTTGGTTCTTGAAAAAAATTTCGTTGTTGATTTTTGTAAAAGTTTTGACTTTGAAATCTATTAAACATTGGATTTTGATTGTTAAATCGATTCTGATTTTGGTTTGAAAAATTTTGTCGTGGTCCTGGGTAAGAAGAGTTTTCTCGTCTTGGTCCTATCAATTTATTAAGTTGAAAACAGTTTACTGCAAAATGACCTTTCTTTCCACAAACTAAACAAGTTATTATATTATCTTGAGCGATATTAATTTTTGTTGTTTTAGCAAAGTCTTTATTATTTTTAAGATGAGAATTATATTCAGTATTATGCTCACTTTTTCTTAGTTCGCGGTGTGATAACAATCTTCTTTCTATTTCTACTGCTTTATTAACTATCTCTTGAAATGTATCTGCTGTTCCAATTCGTATTTCAATTTCTGGTCTAAGTCCTCGCGAAAAACAATCAACAGTTGTTTTATCTAAACTTGCTTTAAATGGTTTATCTACTCTATTTTCATTGCTAATTCTGTGCGCGTCTAATATTCTTTCTGCTGCTTCTGCGATTCTTGACCCATAAGAAATTACATTTTCGTGTTCCCACATATATATTGCTCCTAGTTCTCCTTGTAACTGATATACAGATTTTGCTGGCGCGTAAATTTGTTTTAACCTTTCTGTTAACTGTTCTACTGTATTAAAATTATTTCCTATTATAATTCTTCTTGCTTCACCCGAAATTCGACTCCTAATTAATTTTACTCAATTTGTTTGTACTTGTGCATTATCAGGAAGCATAGATTTTGCTTCTAAACAACTTTCAATAAATACAGATAGTGGTATGTTTTTTCCGTCAAACATTGGTATTGTTTCTAAAGCGTCGCGTAATGACACTTGCTGATTATTTGGAAGAGCCATGTTTTCTTCAAAGTTATTATTATCTCTAGTGTTATCGAGAGAATTATTTTCAGAGTTATCGTTTGTCTCAATTTCGTCAGTTAAAGGTTTATTTAAGCTTTTATTTGAATTTTGTTCAACTAAGGTTTTTTCTGTAATGGTATTTTCACTATCGTTACTGTTACTGTCGAAAGAATTATCGTCAGTATCAAAAAGTTGAGAATAAATATAGCCTGAGTCAAACTGTTTCTGTAATTCTAAGGGATTAGAGTTTTCTTTAGAATATCTGAGTGTACTTGTTGATGGTTTTGTTTTATAATTAGGAATTCCCGAATTCAATTCTAAATCTGGATTATTTTTTATTTGAAAACGAGTTAAATGTGAGGAATCGGTAGTATTTTTATTCGAAGAAGACATTAAAAAATGTCATATTATCAAAATTTATAATATACGTAATAATTGTAAAATTGTCAATCTTGTCTCTTCAATATAAAATACACTTCTCTTTTGTGGTTAATATTTTTATATTGCTTCAGTATATTAAAATATATTCAAATATTTAATAATAATAACAAATCACAATTAAATGAACAAAACAAATTTTGTTTTAGCACAATCAAATATAAAAAATGATTCAAATACAAGACAAAAAATTCCATAAGTCTAGAGGACTCGAACCTCTATTCAGTAATATAACACAGGATTTAATTTGATGAATGCACCTTGCAACTTTAATAATTATAAGTTAAGAGGACTCGAACCTCTATTTATTAATATTAATACAGAATTAAACCAATAAATGCACCGTGCGACTTGAAAAAGTTAAGTGGACTTGAACCTCTATTCATCAATACCAATTTATGATGTATATTTATGAATGCACCTTGCGACTTAAATCTTGTATTATATTATCAATTAGCATAAAATGTACCAAATTAAAAAATCTATTTTTCTTATTAAATGTTACTGATTATATTTTTTTTAATGTATGTTGATACTATTTGTTATTATTATTTATTACTAAAAAATTTTTCCTTTTTTTCACAATTGGTATACTCATTGATTTATTTTATTTAATTATTTTATTAATTTAAAAATTATATTAATTAAAATTTTCGAATTTTATTAAAAATTTGACAAAATAGTGGCTGATCGACTTTATAATTTTCCCGGGCCGATGCACCAAAATTTAAAAGGGCTTCTGTTACGTCGAAAACAACAAGAAACCTTTTTAAATATTCCTAACGTTCCTCGTTTTAAATTAGTTTCATAAATGAATCTAATTTGGGATGAGGATAAGTCAATGAGCCTACTAAATGTACTGAGAGAATAATTTATTTAAAAACCAACAAGAAAGAAAAGAATTGACAAAATACAATGAGTATAATTGAGTTTAGAAAATCTTACTTTTAAAGAATAACGATTACTGGTGTTGTTTGAACTGGTGGTTGTATCTGCTTGTCCGATCTCTAATGGTGTTGAGGGCTAGACGCACTGGGGCTGTGACAGTTGTCCTTAATGGTTGAGTGTTGATCCTCTTGTTTACACTAATGAGATAGTGTATTGTATTTTGAAAATATCTGCTTTCTTCCAGACAGTTGTCGCCTCTTGAACAAATTTCGATGGTTCGAAATGTGTAATACTTCAATAAAAGATTTGTTGAAACTTGGAACTGCGTTTCAATATTATACTTTCGTTGATACTTGGGTTTATTTCCAATTTAATATATTTTTGGAAATTATTAAGTTGTACTTTAAATCAGTGATTCGAACTTCGTTTCAAAAATAAAAACTTGAAGATATAATTCACTCGTTGATGATATACTCTTTATACTAGAGCGATGGTTTTACGATGTGTACAGGTTGATTCCCAAAAAATTACTCTCTCTACTGAAGATGTTATGAGGTTGGCTTTCAAATTATTACTCTCTGTACTGAAGATGTTATAAGGTTGGCTTTCAAATTATTACTCTCTGTACTGAAGATGTTATAAGGTTGGCTTTCAAATTATTACTCTCTGCTGAATGAAACTGCTTGCTCTTTTTATATTAGATTTTCATAACTGTAATGATGCCGAAAAATTGTACACGTGCTAAAATTTGTTTCTCCTTGTGCTAGTTAATAGCGAAAGAATTTCTCTATGCGTTGTTGATATTTCCTCCGGGAGATTGTACGTATCGCCCTTTCGTTAAGTTTCTCGGCGTTTGTTGTTCACCTAAACTTCTCGGGGTTTGCTGCTTTTACTTTCTTTCGTCCGGCCTACGTTTTTAGAAGGTTGTCGAATTGTCGCTTCATCGTTATTCTTTTTACATGAGTAATAGTATTACTTTCCTTTCTTGGATTGTTACAGTTTCAAAATACATAGTGTACATTTGTATAGTAATCAATATGCAAATAATATATGACAATAGAATACAATATTAAAATAGAAAAATGTATTAAATATAATACTAATACAGAAATTGTATAAATGATAATTACAATATTTTAATAGAGAAATATACTGAATATAATGCAATAATTAAAATATAGATTATAAGAGTTAAAAATATATAAGGTAAATACAACACACATACATTAGTAATATAATTTATAGAGTAATAGGTTACGGACGTAACAATACATAAGAATGTTACTCTTTATTAGATTTAATTACTTATATCAATTATTAAATTGAAATACTTTCAAAATTTTGTTTGTTAAAAAGTTAATGAAATTATTTAACAAATTTGATTTTTTTTAATTGAATTTCACAAAATTCTTATTAATTGGATAATTTTTTCCAAATTTATTTTCATCCTGATTTTTTACTGTCAAATTAATTATTTTTAACTAATTCAAATTTACAGAACGGTAAGTTATCTATAAAAATTAAAATAAAAGCGATTTTTTAAAAACTAATTAAAATTATAAATCTTTTTTTAATTTGGTAAAAAAAATCTCGGTTTGGCATTAAATTCTTTGTTTATTCCTGGATTTTACCGGTCAAATTAAATTCCCGGTTAATAGACACCCTTAGAATAGTTATTAATTATTTATTGGTATTATTATTATCATAATGTTTACTACCTGCTGACTATCCTTTTTGCCGTTTGGAGATTTGTCCCCAGTCGATAATACAGATGCTGTCTCCTCCGCATCATCTCCATCATTAAAATCAGTGAGGTTTTGTTTATTCTGTAATAATATCATTTAAATTATAATTACGTCAAGAATTTCCAATTATTTGTTTATAAGAATTCAATTATCTTGAAATAATAGAATTAAAAAATTACAAAAATCTTATTTTGCAGAATTTTCAAAAAAATTTGCGAAAATTCAATTTTATTTAAAAATGTTATGTGTGTAAATTTTTTTGAATTAACTAATAACAATTTTAATTATTAATCTTCGCATTAAGAAACACATGAATACATAAGAATGTTACTCTTTATGAAATTCAATTACTTATATCAATTATTAAATTGAAATACTTTCAAAATTTTATTTGTTTAAAAGTTAATGAAATTCTTTAACACATTTGATTTTTTTCAATTGAATTTCACAAAATTGTTATTAATTTGATAATTTTTTTCAAATTTATTTACATCCAGATTTATTACTGTGAAATTAATTATTTTTAACTAATTAAAATTTAGAGAACGGTATAATTATCTATAAAAACTGAAATAAAAGCGATTTTTTAAAAACAAATTAATATTATAAATCTTCTTTTTTGTTAAAATAAAATCACGGTTTGGCACAAAATTCTTGTTTTAGGGAACGTTCATAAACTACGTAGACCAATTTTTTTGAAATTTTAACCCGCTCCCCTCACGTAGACGCAATTACATGTATTAGCGCCATTTTTTCATCTTATGGTAGACAATAGTTTGACCCCCCCTCCCCCTTGATGTGCTACGTAGTTTATGAACGTTCCCTTACTACCTGCTGATTATCTCCCTTGTCATTTGGAGTTTTGTCGGTTTTGTCCTCAGTGATTGGGGCAGATATCTCCTTTTTTTTATTTTCATCATCGGTATCAGTGATGTTTTGTTTACCCTGCAATATCAATACATATGTATTTATATTTTATATGTATATATATATTTATTTTTTAAAATTATCAAAAAGAAGACAAAACATTTTTTTCTTATTTTCTAAAATTTTTTATTCTCAATTTCTATAATTTAGGGCGCGAAGCGAGATGAGCCTTTGAAAATACTGTCGCTAATAATATTCAGAATAAAAAGAAATTATTTATGCGAATCTTATAGATTATTATATGAAAAAGAAAAAACTTAACATCATCCTCTCTTCAATAAAACTATATTACTTTCAGCAAATAATTGTCATTAAAAAAGAATATAAGAGGCATTCCATTTCAAAACGACCCTCTTCACAAAAAATTGCTATTGTAAGGCAATTTTTAAATGATTATTTCCCCTATTTATTAAAGGCAAACTTTATTTACTACTATAGTGTTTTTAAAAGAAAAATTTCTTAACTTTACGATAGTAAACATTTTTTTTAAAAGAATGTGAATATTATGTGATACTTATGAAAAAAATTTGTTTTGAAAGATAAACTTTTGAATATCTCAAAACACGTCACCTCCGATTTCTTTAAACTTATGTCAAAATAAAGCTTAAATATTCTAGTTTTATTCCTTGTGGATATTATAATGGACAATTCAAGGGAATTTAAGAAATTAATTAAATTTTACAAAGATATCAGAGGTTATAATGCATGTACCGAGCGAAATTTGTTTTTTTCAAATCTTCAGATTTCAGAGGTTAAAACCTCTGAAATCTTTGTAAAAATTAAATAATTTCTCAAATCCCACTGAATTTTCCATTATAATATTTACAGGGAATAATACTAGAATATTTAAGTTTTATTTTGACATAAGTATAAAAAAAATCGGAGATGACGTGTTTTGAGATATTTAAAAGGTTATCTTTCAAACTAAATTTTTTCATAAATAATATTATTTTTTGAAAAAATTTTTTTACTATCGCAAAGTTTAGAAATTTTTATTTTAAAAACACTAATAGTAAATAAAGTTTGGCTTTAATAAATAGCAAAAATAATTATTTAAAAATTTCCTTATACGGACTCTCACAAAAAATTACTGACTTTTACGGACCTGACAAAATTTTCCTGACTTTTACGGAAAATACTGACTTACTTCGCGCCCTGTATAATTCTATAATATTCAAAAATTGTTTAAAATTCTCGTAAAAATTTCAACAATCTTTGTAAACAATAAAATTCTTCTTCAAAATTCAATTATTTTTAAAAACTTTAATAACGTAGAGTGTTTTCAGGACCATAATTTTTGTCAAATAAAATTGTTTATATTGTTGCCTTGGGTGGACCCAAGGCCACAATATAAACAATTTTATTTGATAAAAACTTTAATAAAATTCTTGGTAAAATTTCAATTATATTCAAAAATTTTCTTCATTTCAATGATTTTTAATATCTACTATTTTAATAAAATTACCCAAAAGAATTTATTATTCAAAACCAATTTTAATAAAATTGTACGCAAACATTTAATTATTTTCATTAATAATAAAAATGTTACAGGAATTCAAATATTTACAAATATTTTTAAAGTTTTTTCTCAATATTTAATCATTTTAAGAAATAATAAAACTGTTGGCAGTATTAATTATTTTTAATACAATTTTAATCGAATTTCTTGAAAAATTTCACTATTCTAAACATTTTTCATTTTTTTTTTCTAAACATTTTTTTTTTTTTTTACTTTTCTTTTTCCCTGACTTTTTCCTGATTTCCAGACAAAATTTTTGTTTTCTTACCCTAAAGAATATTCTGATTCACAGTAAAAATGATTAAATACTCAAAAAAATAATTTCATTTGGTACATTTATTTAAGAATTTCTTTAATTGTAAAAGTATTCGAAAATATCAATAACGTTATTTCTTTTTTAATCATTATTATTTTTTCATAGAAAAAAATATTTCAAAACTTTCAAACTCAATAATAGCTTGAAAGAAAATATTATTATAAAACGTGAAGAATTTTCTTCCTTTTTTAGTAATTAAAGATGACTGAGTAATAAAATCATTATTTTATATAATAATATAAGAATGTTGTTACTGTACCCATGTGGAAAATAGTCATGGCACTGTAACAAATCTGTCTAGTTTCTCTAGATACTATACTGGCACGAGATAGATATACTGTACAGAATCTGTCCAGAAATGTAACGATTTTATCGACTAGTTGCTATATAGTTTAACTGTCCAGCGAGTATATTGTAAATCTAGGTACATACAGTAAACTTAGATCTTTTCAAAATTTAGTATTTTATTAAAATATTAGTAATTAAATTTAAAATAAAAACTCCATCGTTTAAAAAACTTTCAAATTTATATAAGTATTTATTTTTTAATGTTATTAATTATTTATATATATATATAAATATACTTTTTTTTATTCATTATATATATTATTTATGTAGATCTTTAATTAACTTCAGCATTTTGGGCTACGACAATAACTTCCAGATCTTCTATATTAACTTTTTTTGGTCTAGAATTACGGTGCCCATCCCAATCTACGGCATTCGTAATGACGGGGCAAAGAATTCGAAGAAATTCTTTTTCGGTTATTTTGGGTTCATTATCTAATTCCATTTTTTTGGTAATAAAAGGTGAAAAATTTTTGGTACTATTAGATTACATTTATTCTAATTATAAAATTAGTTTATAAAAAGTTTCTTAAATGAAAGATAAAAATAATTATTTAAGTCTTACCGAACATGCACTTATAAAATTCAGTTTTATTAAAAACTTGCTCTTTTGTAATTGTTTTTTTTGATGCATTAAACAGAAGAATTACATCTCGTGAAAAGTACATTTTTTAAAATGTTGATGAAAGTTCGAGATAGTACATTGTTTTTATCAACTAAGTAGCTTAATGTCTGCTTCTACAAAAAAGTAATTAAAAAAATACGAATTATTTATATTAGTCCATTAATTTTATAAACCATAAAAACATATATTTAATTTGAAGTACTGTTTTACTGTTTGAAAAAAGTCTGAAATATTTTTGTGAGTATAAGTTTGCTACCAAGTTTATTAACATTGTCTAGAAATAGTAAAATATATTATTTATACAAATTAAAAATTTAAGGAAAAAAATATTTCCACTTCGATTGTATCGAATAATTATATCATATTTTGTTTCTAGAATAATAATAATAATAAGTGTGCTGTACTTACAAACTCTTGCCTAAATATTTTATCGGACTTCAATTTTTCTTCCATTGCGTGAAATTCTTCCAATGTTGAAAATGGCAATTCCAATTTATATTTCTCCGCAACAGTAGAAGGCAGATTGATATTGGACCCATTTGCTACTAACATTGACTGCATGTCTCTTAACTGTCGAGACATTTCCAAATGATCAATGTGTAATATATGCATTGCTTTTAGCATCCTAGACTGAAGGAGTAAAGGATTTTCTGTAAAATATAAAGAAAATTTAAAGATGAAATATAGAATCAACTGTAGTCTGTTGAAACTCTAAGAATATATTTATTATATGTACCTTGTTCTTTGGAAGAGATATTGGGCGTAAAAATATTCAAATTTTGGTCCATTTGTTCGAGAATATTTCGTCCTAAAACAATTAATTAAAAAGATATTCAATACCAAACTTTGAAAACAGTAAATGATAGTTTAAAAAAGTTATTGAAATTTACTTTTCGGTTCCTTATTAGATTGCGATGTTATACTTTTTGGATCATTTAATTTTTCAGTTTCATCTTTAAAGTCTTTCTTCCTTTTAGTTGAAAGTAGTTTGAGATTTTTTCTGCTATTCATTCTGTCTTTAGATTTTCCCATTATTGAATTTTTATTGTTTTGAGCATCACCTGAATTCAAAATTTAAGTAAATTATATTATTGTAATAATAATTAAAATACATTTAAAATTTTCACTGTATGTAAATACTAACTTCGTTTACCATTGGAATTTTTTGTTTTATTTAATATATTTTCGGAATTGTCTTCTTCCTCTTCAGTTTTATCATCTGTGGAATAATGTTTCATCTGATGAACCTAGTAAAATGTTTTTTAATAAATTATTAATTTTTTTATTTTTAAAAACAAATTTTAACAAGAATTTTATATATTAATTTCTAATACCTTGTTGTTTTGGCAAATGTGAGAGATGGGAAAGAGTTTGCATATTCTACTTCGGGTTTGTGTTTAGAATTGTCTTCTGAAATATGATTGATATATAAATTAATAGCTAAAAATTCTTAGATTTTAGATAAAATCTCGACTTTAAATACAAAGTTTATTAAACAATTAAAAATATAGAATAAACACTTAATTAAGAAATAATATTTGATTATTACTTACTATTACATTATTAAAAATATTAATTATCTAAGGAAATTTTTACTTACGTAGTTGCTTTGCATTTGAAATTGTTTTCTTATTTTTGGTAGGTTTTGTTGGAATCGGATTTACCCTTAATCCTTCTTGTGTAAAGCTTAATGTCTTTGCAGAAGTGTTAAGTACTGTAAATAAACGAATAATGTTACCATGGTTTTTAAGCTGCCTGCTAGATAATAATCTTAATAAAATGTTTGTGTAAAAAGTTAATTGACAATATACTTCACTAATTTTTTTCTATTTCCGTTTAAGAGATATTTAAAATTATTTAAATCTTTTTCTCTATATTAATTAAATAAAAATTATCATTAAGAAATGATGTACTTGAAGATACCAACGTTCAATGAACGAAAAGGGCCGCGCCATGCGATCACCCTAAAGTAGAGTCTACATTAGGTGACGTATACGCGAACGCAGACGTGGACGTGTACGCGCTGACGTCACAAACGTACGTGTTGCCAACTGTCGAGGCACGACAGTTTTAAAATATGAACTCATTGTTTTAGAAGTTTGTTTAAAGCTGCAGGTATTATTTAAATTAATGAAATTACATCTGGTAAGTATAGTGTATGATAAAAATAATGTAATATATTATGTTTGTTTATTATAAACAATTGTGTAAATGTAATTAATACAATTATGACTCTGCATTTTAATTTATTTTCATCGAAAATTAGGCCTCCTTAGCCCTATATAGGAACTTATTTACATAAATAAAAAATAGTTAAATTGAGGCAATTTTTGTTAACAATTTGATTAATTTTTTGTTTTAAAAATCGAATTCTTTTGAGGATTTTTTTAAAAATATAGATATTGAAAATATTTAAATTTCAGTGAAAAATTTTATTGTTTGTGAAAATAATTGAATTCTTGACAAAAATGTCCCAAAAACTTTTGAAAATAATTCAATTGCTCGAAAGAATTTTGTAAAATATGTTTTAATTTTTTCTAAAAAGAATTTTATTAAAATTGATAACAATAATGTATTTATTTTAACTCAGGGTTGTCACAAAAATTTAATTTTGTTTTTCCCAGACTTTTCTCTGATTTTAAGACAAAATTTTGACTTTTTCCCTGATCATAAATAATATTCTGATTTACTCTCAAAATTATCAGATACTCAAAAAAATCTTCTATTACATTTACATTAGAGATTCCATTATCCAGATTAAATTAAATTATCAGATACTCAAAAAAATCTTCTATTACATTTACAGTAGAGATTCCATTATCCAGATTTTCGATTATCCGGACAAATTTCAAATGCATTTTTAAAAAATTTTAAAGATTATAAGCATTTAATACTGTAAATTTAGAATTTTCACAATAAATGTTGCGTTTTTAAGTATTTTAATGATTTTAAGAAAATTTTTATGTAAATCTTTTGAATTATTTCTAACTGAACATTTACTAATGTTGACTTTAACCCTTTGAGGACCAGTGTTGCTTTCAGGCAACATAAACTTTTCTTTATTAACTCGACTTTTACATCCCCTTAATAATCAAAAATAACGATTTTTTAAGAAAGAATTTGGTCCTCAAAGGGTTAAGAATTTCATTTCGTTTCAATCTTATTTAAATTTATATGCAAATAAATACATAAAATTATAAATCGAAAATTTGTTTTATTTGTATTTTTTTATTATCCGTATTTTCGACTATTCAAATAGGTACCTGGATCCATTAGTCTGGATCATGGAGTCTTCACTGTATTTACGAATTCTTTTTTATTGTAAAATTCTTTAAATATTCAATTATTTTATAATTTAAATTTCATGTTTAAGTAATTTTTATTTGAAAATTCTACGAGAGTTCAATTATTTAAATGCAAAAGTAAATTATTTATTGAACAATTGAATGCTTGTTGAAATTGAATTCTCATAAAGAATTTTATCTATAAATTTTTAAAAAACTGAATTGTTTTGACGAATTTTAATAAAATTTTTAAGAATAATTACATTTTTCGAGGAATTTGTTTAAAATTGTATTAAAAATAATTGAAATTCTGCAATGAGTTTATTATTTATAAAAGAATTCAATTTATAACAAAATTTGTAAATAATTAAACTTTTATGGAAATTTTATTATTTACGAATATAATTAAATATTTGTGTACAATTTTATTAAAAAAATGTTAAATAGTTGAATTCTTTTAAAGAATTTGATTAAAATAGTATAATTCAGGGAAATTTTTGAATATAATTGAAATTTTGCCAAGATTTTTATTAAAATTTTTGAAAGTTGACAATTATTGAATTTCGGAGAAGAATTTTCTCAATATTAATTTTTTTTCTCTTCAATAATCTTCATTATTTTACTGAAGCATTTTATTTTATTGTGCTGAGGAACTTGAAGCCAAACATCTTTAATGATTGATAAATAATCTTGTGTTTTGGGATCCATCGTCTGCACTTTATTTTCTCCTGAATCTTCGTCATCAACTGAAAGGCATATTTACTATTATTATTATTATTGTATAGTGTAAGTTTTGAAAAGGCAATATTTTCTTTTAAGTAGTTTAAATTATTGTAGGGAGTCAAAAGTGCCAATGACATTTAACAAAACTTGTCATTTTCGGATTGGTACTTATTTTGTAGACAAATCGAAATTATACCTTCAAAAGTTGAACCATCTTCAATATCATCATTATTATTATCGACGTCATCTTCGTCGCTATCGTCGCTATCGTCGCTATCATCACTATCATTGCTATCGTCATCATTTTGATTTTTGTTTCTTTTAAATGAGCTGTCAGTTCTATTAAACAAAATTATTGAAAATTAATTATATTTAAACAAAACATTGACTTCTATTACAGCAATAAGACAGGCATAACAAATTTTTTCATTCTTACTTTCGATGTTTCACAAACTTTCTCATAAACATCATTAAAGTAAAATACTTCCAATTACTAGAGGTATTGATAGCTGCTGAGCCTGAAGGAACGTAAATTGTTGTTTTTTTTTGCTCTTCTGTATATTTTTGTTTTAAATATTTCCACTTATTCTTAACTTTCTGAGCTGTAATAAAATATAAATATCAAAAGACTTAAGTAAATATATATTATACATAAAATAAACTTTAAGAGACTGTTTTATTTGTTGGGAAATTTGAATTCACATAATACATACCTGTAAACGGCTTGTTAAACATTCTGCTGACTCGATGGGCAATGCTTTTCCAAATTGAATATTTTTTTGTTTTATTTTTATAATCAGGTGATTCTAAATCGTACAAACATGTGTGTTCTTGTACAGATACAATAATTAATTCTTCTAAATCCATTTCGTGCGTAGCAATGTTATTTAAACAAATTTAGTATATTTTCTTCTCGCAAGCACTACTATAAACACAAGAAAGGCTAAACAGTGATGGGTAGATAGATAGCATTCTTGACTTCTTGAGTAGGCATGCGTTCATTTAAAAATGAACAGAGCATAATAACTATTAAGTAAAATCCATAATCAGAATGTTTCACTACATACATCAAAATATTTCGAGTTTGAGTATGACGTCAAATAATTAGAGGGAAAACAAACAGACGACACAATGTTATTATTATGAAAAAAAAATGGTTTCCCCTTTTATAAATTTTACTTATATTATGAACATGAAAAACTGTTGTTATCATGTGTCAAAATAAAGTGAGTGTTATATATTTAATTCAATTGTATAGGTAGATAGTACTTTTAAATAAATATAAATAATTGGTATACGTGATTAAATAAACATTTTGAGGTTATGAGTGTTTGTATACTAAGCTCATTTCACATTTTAATAGTACAGTATTAAACAATATTCTGTACGCATTGTTATTAAAATACATAAAAGATATATTTGAAGTGGAAATAACCATAGCAGTAAAAGATTTCAATTTAGTAAACAAATATCCCTAACCTGAAAAATGATATATGTATTATTGCAAATTCAGAGAATTCACAAATGCAACGGGATCAAATACATAACACATTTTTTAAAATTTATTTAACCAGGGTTGCCACGCTTTTGTTCATTTGAAATTCCCTGACTTTTCCAGGTTTTCCAGGTTAAAAAACGTAACTTTTTCAGGTTTTTAAAACAACATTTGATGACAAAAAAAATTTTATTTTATTTTTCCCTAACTTTCCCTTAAATTCCAGACAAAATTCTTACTTTTCATTTACTCTAAAGAATATTTAGATTCAGTTTAAAAATTATTACTCAGAAAAATATTTTATTACTTTTTTTAAAATAAATATTAAATGATTATTATTACCTATTTAAAATTAAACAATTTAAAAAAAATTGTTATAAGATATGAGGAAATCTATCACTCCGAGTCTTCGACTCGAAGCAATCGATATCTACATGTTTTATAATAATTCACTATCAAAGATGACCGACTGGAAATTAAAAATTTTGTAATAACAATTTGTTTATTTTGTTATAAAGAAAAAAAAATTTGAGAACCTTCGGCAAGGTCAAAATTTTGACAATTTTCAAAAAAACTGCTTCTAAACGGTAAAAACTGAAATTTTGTCAATTTTCAAAATTTAAAAAGTTAAAAAAGACCGGCTGGAAATTGAAAATTTTGTAATAACAATTTGTTTATTTTGTTATAAAGAAAAAAAAAATTTAAGAACCTTCGACAAGGTCAAAATTTTGACAATTTTCAAAAAAACTGCTTCTAAACGGTAAAAACTGAAATTTTGTCAATTTTTAAAATTTAAAAAGTTAAAAAAGACCGGCTGGAAATTGAAAATTTTGTAATAACAATTTGTTTATTTTGTTATAAAGAATACAAAAAAAATTATTAGAACCTTTGCAAAAGTTCATAACCTATAATGAACGGTGAAAAAGCTATTTTCTCACCGTTTCATATCAAAACTTCGAAACCAAAATAGTCAAAGAAGACCGGCTGAAAGTTAAAAATTTTGTAATAACAATTTGTTTATTTTGTTATAAAGAAAAAAAAAATTTGAGAACCTTCAGCGAGGTCAAAATTTTGAGAATTTTCAAAAAAACTGCTTCTAAACGGTAAAAATTCCAAATTGTCAATTTTCAAAATTAAAAAAGTCAAAGAAGTCCTGCTGGAAATTAAAAATTTTGTATCAACAATTTGTTTATTTACTTATAAAGAATACAAAAAAAAATATTAGAACCTTTGCAAAAGTTCATAACCTATAATGAACGGTGAACAAGCTATTTTCTCACCGTTTTATATCAAAACTTCGAAACCAAAATAGTCAAAGAAGACCGGCTGAAAGTTAAAAATTTTGAAATAACAATTTGTTTATTTTGTTATAAAGAATAAAAAAAAAAATTTGAGAACCTTCGGCGAGGTCAAAATTTTGAGAATTTTCAAAAAAACTGCTTCTAAACGGTAAAAACTGAAATTTTGTCAATTTTCAAAATTTAAAAAGTCAAAAAAGACCGGCTGAAAGTTAAAAATTTTGTAATAACAATTTGTTTATTTTGTTATAAAGAATAAAAAAAAAATTTGAGAACCTTCGGCGAGGTCAAAATTTTGAGAATTTTCAAAAAAACTGCTTCTAAACGGAAAAAATTCCAATTTGTCAATTTTCAAAATTAAAAAAGTCAAAGAAGACCGGCTGGAAGTTAAAAATTTTGTAATAACAATTTGTTTATTTTGTTATAAAAAATAAAAAAAAAAATTTGGGAACCTTCGGCGAGGTCAAATTTTTGAGAATTTTCAAAAAAACTGCTTCTAAACGGAAAAAATTCCAATTTGCCAATTTTCAAAATTAAAAAAGTCAAAGAAGACCGGCTGGAAATTAAAAATTTTGTAATAACAATTTGTTTATTTTGTTATAAAGAATGCAAAAAAAATTTGAGAACCTTCGGCAAGGACAAAATTTTGAGAATTTTCAAAAAAACTGCTTCTAAACGGTAAAAACTGAAATTTTGTCAATTTTCAAAATTTAAAAAGTCAAAAAAGACCGGCAGGAAATTGAAAATTTTGTAATAACAATTTGTTTATTTTGTTATAAAGAATGCAAAACAAATTATTATAACCTTTGCAAAAGTTCATAATCTATAATGAACGGTGAAGAAGCTATTTTCTCACCGTTTCATATCAAAACTTCGAAACCAAAATAGTCAAAGAAGACCGGCTGGAAATTACAAATTTTGTAATAACAATTTGTTTATTTTGTTATAAAGAATAAAAAGAAAATTTGGGAACCTTCGGCGAGGTCAAATTTTTGAGAATTTTCAAAAAAACTGCTTCTAAACGGTAAAAACTGAAATTTTGTCAATTTTCAAAATTTAAAAAGTCAAAAAAGACCGGCTGAAAGTTAAAAATTTTGTAATAACAATTTGTTTATTTTGTTATAAAGAATAAAAAAAAAATTTGAGAACCTTCGGCGAGGTCAAAATTTTGAGAATTTTCAAAAAAACTGCTTCTAAACGGAAAAAATTCCAATTTGTCAATTTTCAAAATTAAAAAAGTCAAAGAAGACCGGCTGGAAGTTAAAAATTTTGTAATAACAATTTGTTTATTTTGTTATAAAAAATAAAAAAAAAATTTGGGAACCTTCGGCGAGGTCAAATTTTTGAGAATTTTTAAAAAAACTGCTTCTAAACGGAAAAAATTCCAATTTGCCAATTTTCAAAATTAAAAAAGTCAAAGAAGACCGGCTGGAAATTAAAAATTTTGTAATAACAATTTGTTTATTTTGTTATAAAGAATGCAACAAAAATTTGAGAACCTTCGGCAAGGACAAAATTTTGAGAATTTTCAAAAAAACTGCTTCTAAACGGTAAAAACTGAAATTTTGTCAATTTTCAAAATTTAAAAAGTCAAAAAAGACCGGCAGGAAATTGAAAATTTTGTAATAACAATTTGTTTATTTTGTTATAAAGAATGCAAAACAAATTATTATAACCTTTGCAAAAGTTCATAATCTATAATGAACGGTGAAGAAGCTATTTTCTCACCGTTTCATATCAAAACTTCGAAACCAAAATAGTCAAAGAAGACCGGCTGGAAATTACAAATTTTGTAATAACAATTTGTTTATTTTGTTATAAAGAATAAAAAGAAAATTTGGGAACCTTCGGCGAGGTCAAATTTTTGAGAATTTTCAAAAAAACTGCTTCTAAACGGTAAAAACTGAAATTTTGTCAATTTTCAAAATTTAAAAAGTCAAAAAAGACCGGCTGAAAGTTAAAAATTTTGTAATAACAATTTGTTTATTTTGTTATAAAGAATAAAAAAAAAATTTGAGAACCTTCGGCGAGGTCAAAATTTTGAGAATTTTCAAAAAAACTGCTTCTAAACGGAAAAAATTCCAATTTGTCAATTTTCAAAATTAAAAAAGTCAAAGAAGACCGGCTGGAAGTTAAAAATTTTGTAATAACAATTTGTTTATTTTGTTATAAAAAATAAAAAAAAAATTTGGGAACCTTCGGCGAGGTCAAATTTTTGAGAATTTTCAAAAAAACTGCTTCTAAACGGAAAAAATTCCAATTTGCCAATTTTCAAAATTAAAAAAGTCAAAGAAGACCGGCTGGAAATTAAAAATTTTGTAATAACAATTTGTTTATTTTGTTATAAAGAATGCAAAAAAAATTTGAGAACCTTCGGCAAGGACAAAATTTTGAGAATTTTCAAAAAAACTGCTTCTAAACGGTAAAAACTGAAATTTTGTCAATTTTCAAAATTTAAAAAGTCAAAAAAGACCGGCAGGAAATTGAAAATTTTGTAATAACAATTTGTTTATTTTGTTATAAAGAATGCAAAACAAATTATTATAACCTTTGCAAAAGTTCATAATCTATAATGAACGGTGAAGAAGCTATTTTCTCACCGTTTCATATCAAAACTTCGAAACCAAAATAGTCAAAGAAGACCGGCTGGAAATTACAAATTTTGTAATAACAATTTGTTTATTTTGTTATAAAGAATAAAAAGAAAATTTGGGAACCTTCGGCGAGGTCAAATTTTTGAGAATTTTCAAAAAAACTGCTTCTAAACGGAAAAAATTCCAATTTGTCAATTTTCAAAATTTAAAAAGTCAAAAAAGACCGGCTGAAAGTTAAAAATTTTGTAATAACAATTTGTTTATTTTGTTATAAAGAATGCAAAACAAATTATTATAACCTTTGCAAAAGTTCATAATCTATAATGAACGGTGAAGAAGCTATTTTCTCACCGTTTCATATCAAAACTTCAAAACCAAAAAAGTCAAAGAAGACCGGCTGGGAGTTAAAAATCTTGTATTAACAATATGTTTATTTACTTATAAAAAATACAAATAAAATAGTGTTTACCTCTGCAAAGTGCATTAACTTGTAATGAATGGTGACAACGCAAAAG